ACATACATAATAGGTCTGTCTAAGATGAAATTCTCCAAATTTTTTAAATGTTATAATTTTTCTCCAATAAAAAAATTACAAATAACTCACATATTTCTCTCAATTTTATGCTATCACATTTAGGTACAATAATATCTTGGACAGAACTATTACATTATATTACTAATCGATATTATTTAAATTTATTCAAATTATATAAATAAGTAATAATAAGCTACTTCAAAAGCGAAGAATTAGATTTGTCTCAATATAGGTGTGCTTTGTTCTAAAGAGCCGTTGTCATTCTAGAATTGAGCAATCCAACCTATACGAGTACTAATATTTGCAATTTTATTTATATTGTTGAATAGCTTATATTCACTTAATCTAAAATTGAAAAAAAGAAATTTCAAAATATGAGTACCCTATTCATTTTCCTGATTCTCTTAAAGATTATCTAATATACATATATGCTTCTTTAACAACAATAATATTTAATTTTTGGTCCTTTTTTGATAGCTTTTAGATTACAAGAATATTATTGAATTATAGTTCTTTGTTTAAAATTTCTTGTAAAAGAGAAAAAAGTTATTCACTCATATATTCTCTAACCAAACTTGACTTGAACTTGAAGTATTACAATTATATTCAAAAATTTTGTAGCTTGCAAATAAAAATGAATTTAAAAATGTGGGAATCTAAATTTAAAAACTTGAAATTTTTGATTAATATTCCATCATTTCAATAAAAGTGATTATTAAAGTTCAGTTTAAAAACATTAGATCCATTCACACGCAATCCGACTCCGATAAAAAATTATTTAACAAAAAATAATTTTCTAAATCTCGTGAGCCCATATTTTTACCCCAAAAATTATAAAATTATTTGACAATAATTTGCATTAATTTTAACATTAACTTTAATGTTATCAAAAAAGGACTCAGTCAGTCAATCGAGTTATTTTAAAATTAACCTTAAGACTTATTATTTATTAAGATTTAACTGAATCAATTTTTTAATTTTTTTCCGAAGAAGGAAGGGACCTATTATTCTCAAAATAATATCAAATTTTATATTAATTTTTTTTCGCCTTCCCTTATGCAATATAATAAAATTGTTTTGAAATCAGTAGAAGGTTATATGATACGTGTATCAAAATTTAATTGTTAATGTACATATTTATAAAAAAAAAAGTTTTAATAGAAATTCTTGGAAAGAAACTAAAAAAATTTATTTGCTATTAAAACTAAAAATTTAAACGTGCTTAAAAATTAAATTATTTATAAAAAATTTGTCAATTACTGTATTAATTCTCTATTTTCTTTTTTTTGATAAATTTTTATTTATTTTTTTATGGTATGAATTATTTATATGCGCGGCTATTTGTATTAATTTTATCACCCATCACTTAAAATATAGTAAAATTAGGAAAGCTTCTACCTATATTTTATTTAAATACTAAATAATATTTAAATATATAATGAAAACGAAAAACAAAATTAAATAGTATGATGAGTAAATTTTTGTTTGGTATATTTTGTAAAGTGTTTTAGTTTTTTTTCTCTTTTTACCTATAGTATTCATACCTGTATACGTGTGTAAATAAATTTACTACAAATTATTTTTCTTTACAACCCACAAAATTTAACATAAAAAAAAGAGATTCACTTTTTATCATCAGTATATGGTTTTTAATATTGTACTAAAAAAAAAAATAAGAAACAACAAATTAAATAAAATATAGCGCGGTTTTTTTTCATACCATTACATCAATATGCACATCACCCGCCACCTTTTTTTTTACAAATATTGTGCATTTAGTAATATAACAAAATATATTTTTCTTAAAGGTATATAAAGGTTGAAAGTTTGGAATATTCATTACAGTTTACAACTATACTTTTATAAGTGAAATTCTCATTTTCAGTTCAAAGCAAAAGCAAAAAAAAAAACCAAAAATGAAATTTATTTACATGGTAGGTTTATAAATATTAAAAACATTTTAAATATTGAATTACATAAGTGCCATAAAAATTAGTTAATATTCAGTGTATGTTTATATATATGAAATAAAACTTTAAAGGATATCACAATAATATCATTTACATAATTATAAAACAAAAGAGCAGTTTGTGAAACAATAAATATTTTTCGAAATGTGGTAATCATAGAAAAAATTTTTCCAGTCATTATATAATTTTAATCGTTATTAATATCCTTTTGTGCAAACTATTATTGCCCAGCTATCAATATTGTGGAGAAATAAAAATTTGTATATTAATTATATATAACAAATCGGCTACTTTTATAAAATATTAACACAATATTGGAAAATTAACTTAAATCCAAATCAATGAAAAATCAACTTTATTAAGCAATTAAAATTTAATTAATTACAATTTAATTTAATATAAAATTTAATTGTTGAATACAAGACCTATTTTCAAGTTATAGCATAACATATCATTAAATAAACTAGGGATTGCGAATTAATATAATTATATTTTTAATTAAATATCCAAATGTTAAATAAAATTGCGAATATCTTAATAGAATTTTAAAATTTTCATTTACAATATACGTATATAAGAAATTAACTTAAAATTGCTATTTATACTGTGAAAAATTTATAAAACAATTTCATTTGAAAAATATAATTATTTATAATAATTTTATTTTATTATATTTATAATTACAGAGCTTATTTTTATGCCTATTGATTATTGTTGCTGTCTCAGCAACACCCATTGAAGAAGGAATTGGTTCAGATGATGGCTATGAGAATAACAATTACAATCCTCAAGATCCTCAACAAATTTTTAAATTAAAAAAATTAAAAAAATTACTTTTCGGTTAAAATTTAATTAAAATTTTCATATCTAGTCCAAAAAAAGAAAACATCGTTTTTAAAATTCAATTTAAAACCATCATTTTAAATACATACCTACATACATAAATTTTGTAATATACCTACATATACGCCAATTATTGTAAAATTCATGAAAATTATTTTATATCCTTCTTCATTGTAATATATAAAAAAGAAAAATAAGGATAAAATTATTTTAAATGAAATATTTTGTTTTTTAGCATAAAAATAATGTAATTCACCTATAATTTGCTACCATGTACCATAAATAAATAATAATTTTGTATTAAATTAATAATTAAAGTATTTTATTATTTTTAATCCTTGAACATACATACCTACATATATTTCTTACGTTCTAGAATGCAAAACTCCGGCATTCATTTCTTTTATTTGACAGATTTTAGTTCACAAATCTCCTGTAATGGAGAACTCAGTAGAGAAATTAAAGTCCCCTACTAAAAAAAAGGTCTACTCCTAAAGTGTTCAAAAATGTTAATGTTCTTGGATTGTTACGAGTTGAAAGCACACCACGCTCGATAGCGTTGTGATCTTTGTAATAATGTGATACATAACAATGAATACTCGTACTGTTACAAACGTGGAATGTTACAAGACATGCTCCGCCACTTTTTAGTAAACGTAAGAAAAAAACTAATTAAATATTCCCAATCATCACGAAAATATTATGGGAATAATATGGATGCTATCAACTCCTTATACAATTTGAGTGGCGATCCATGATTGTTAAAATAATATATTTTAATATTGATTGATCTCGTAGTCCAATACGTCTTGTTAACATTAATAATCATAACAAAAAATTGTACTGGGCTAAAAACATCAATCCTTCATCGCCAAGGTAAACATTAATTGTATCTACATACATATCATTTATCCATTAATGAAACAATTTACCAATCTTTTCCATTTACGTCTTTCTTGTTCAGGTAATGCTTCTGTTGAGTTGATATCGATGTTTTCTTCTATTATGCCATAACTATCTCTTATAAGCCATACTGGTACTGCGGAACCAAATTAAGTTTATTATTTTTCAACTCCATTCCGCCCTTCATCATTTCCATTTCATATCCAGTATTCTGCGCACATTTTTGTTCGCGGCATTCCTTAATTATAATATTAAGTCCAAAGCGGGCATAGCTCTCGGATAACTCCTTCTAGCGGATAGGTACAAGCTGAACGTAATTTTATCCTGGCTTTAAAATATACATAACTGCATGCAAAGGTAGAACAACCGTGAATTTGTTGTACTGGCTTGCCTTTTCCTACTCTGTCTCAGTAGTCTTTAATTTACATATTCACATTCTTCCTATTCATCTTAATCCGGAACTTGTATCTTATGGAATCACCACACACACTTTTTCAAAGCATACTATTGGTACTTTTTCTTCAACTTTAAATATTTTTCGAACATCTTCTAAAGTCTGTTTGGAATACATACATATACTATATATTACTTTTTAGGTACATATATATTACATACCTATTAATATATACCACACACCCATTATATTTGATATACATTATCTATTGTAAAGAAACTTGAAACTCAATACGAATATTATTCGATATATGTTTTCGATACTGAAATATATCCAATACTCGTTTATTCGATAGTGAAAATTGTTCAATATTCAAACATTCGATAGCCCAATTCATTCGATAGTGTTCATTACCATTTAAAATACACTAGCACCAGTCTTTTATATTTATACGACGGCTTTTGTATTAATATTTGTCAATTAGACATAGTGTACGAGTACGTTTCATTCTCCTTTCCGACAAGCTTATTCTGTAAGGGGAATGCTTGTTATTCGATTCTTACTCTTTCGTCTGTATTAAGAGTCAATCACATCTTTGCCGCCTAAACTTTATTCCTGTTGTTTATAGGTATTTTTAGTTATGAGTTAATAATTTTTTTTCGTTTAAATTCGTTTTTTAAGAGAAACGGAAAATACGCGAAAGAAATGAAAAAGTTTCGAAATTTGACAGCTAGAAGATCAACCTAATGTAGAAATGGTCATAACAAATAAATTTATCTTATAAAACAATTTAAGAATCTGTGATTGGTTGAATCATTTTCACGTCAAATAGACACAACTTCAAACGTCAAAGCGAGTGGAATCGAAAATTGGTTAGTTTCGTGAAGTACTTACATATGGATACATAACAAAAAAAAAAAAGAAAATTTAAATGTGATTTTATATGTCGTGAAATAAAATTATCTCAAAAATGGTTACCAAATTTGATCGAGAGAAAGTTGAACAACAACTTGTTTATATATCTATTAGTTTAGGAACTATTTTTGCTTGCATGATATATACAAATGGTGGAAAAAATTGGTCAATATTAGGAAAACTAGAATCACTAATTCTACCAATTGTATTTGTGGGTCTTTTAGTTAAAGTGTGTATGACAAAATATTACAGTAGAAAAGAAAAGGATTTATTAACACAGCAGAAAGCCAAACGAAAAAGCGTATATTTACCTCCTCGAGAAATTGTTGGTGGATTAATACTTCAATTAGTGTGCTGTTTATTATATGCTTTTATTTGCATTATATTAGGTGCACCAGTTTTGCAAAACTATGAAGAGACATTCGTTTTAGCTTTGTTGTTAACTATAACTACAGGTATACAAAAATGTTGTTTTGGAAGCCAAAAGTAATTTGTTTTGTCTTGTTTTAGTATCCCCAGCTGTTTTAATATTGGGGGGAAGCGGAGCTTTGCAACTATGTTTTTGTGAAAAAGTGGAATATTATTCAAAAAGTGACGAAATTTCTTTAAATATTCACAAGTACGAATTAATGGGAACCTTGTTTGGGGCATGGGCAGCATCTGTTGTATCTCCCTTAGATTGGGATAGAGATTGGCAGGCTTATCCAATCCCAAATGTAATTGGAGCTTTACTGGGTAATGCTATTGGTAATTTGATAGTTTGGACGAAAGTCCTGTTTTCAACAGCAAAAGTATTTTTTAAAAAAACTAAGTAGTTATGTTTTTATATTGTTTTTCATAAAATAATTATAACCTGATAAAAAATTAATGTATCCCATCCTTTTTTTTAAATCTTATCAATTTTATAAATCCATTAAAAAAAATATCATCTTCTAGTCATTAAAAAAAGTATTGTAATGGTTTTTAAATAAATATTATTTATTTAATTACGAAATAATATGGATTATAACTAAAAAACTTTTGTATTTTCTATTTGACCTTTTGTGTTTAATAACATGCTTTCATCTTCAAGTAAGCATCGTTTACCAAAAATTGTTTTATTCGGCTCCCATTGATCATCATCAAAATCGTTATCAATTTCATTCATACCTTCAAATTCATATATTTTGTGATATGAATGATCTCCTAAATAAGTCTTAATTCTATAATCTGCGGTTTCTGGGCATGAAACCTGTTCATAAAGATTTCGTAATGGGATAAAATGTTGACCGTAAGCTGAACGTTGGGACGAACTGGCTTCTGTTATTATTGCAGTCCATGTAATAGCGATAGTCATATGAGGATCATAAGTTGCTATCATGCTATTAAATTCTTCGGTGCTGATTGCTGCATTGTATACATTTAAGTAGCGGGTTTCATGTTTCATAAGAAAACTATAAATCTTTTCAAACGAAGGAATGATTTGTAAGTGATGATTTAAATTGGGTGTTACTGGCAAAGCTGAAAGTCTTGTTTTAATATATTCAATTTCTGACTTAACTTTCTTAGCAGCTGGATTCTCCATAAGTTTACAACGGAAACTAACTGATTTTGATGGTTTTAAACACTTTTCTAAAATTAAAACTTTATTATAACAAAGTTATTTTGAAAAAAAAACATACCATTTAACTGTCCATTAACTATTTCCATTTCATTTGTGTCTGTGAATATTTAAAGTGATATTAAAACATTGTTACATTAAATAAGTTATGCTAAACCTACATAATATTCTATCAGTATTAAGTTTATATTTTGGACAATACATTTCAATCGAATTTATATAAACTTCAGTCATTAGAGGATGATGCTCTTGATTCATATTTTTCAAATGAACATCCAGTCCTAACTCATTTGTCATTAAATTACCAACTACAGTGGTTACTTCTGCTTGAAGGCATTCGAAAACGTTGATATCCCATTCATGTCTAACTAATCGATACCTAAATTTGAATAATTATTAATTACTAATATTATAAAATTTGATATAACTTATTCATCGAGTTAACCTAATTTTTGGATAATCCTTCGGCATGGAGTAGTATACTAATAGACGCAACTTATGTTCTCCTATAATATATGGCGCTTGTATCCACATTTGAATTGTTTTAGTTTCCTCAGATTTCAAAGTATTAGAAGCAATCTGAGGTATTTTAAATACATGCTGTTTTCGCATTTCTTTGTCTTTACTTAGTGCTTCATTTGTTAAGTCTTTGTAATCTGAAATCAAAATGAATTTAATAAAATCGTGTTTAATAAATAAATAATATATTTTAACCTTTTAAGACTGATAAGGGTAATCCCACATGATCATTTAAAAATGTTATACACCTTGGTTGCTCTGTACATAAATAAATGCTTTCAATTGGCAACATTCCCGAATTTCTTAAGCAAATAGTGATTGGCATAATTTCTCCTACAACAACATCTGTAGGTATTTTAGAAAAACTAACATGGAGTGAAGGAGCTGGTGGTAAAATTTCTATATTGAGCTTATTATCGAATAATACTGGGCGTTCTACATTTGCTGAAAATTTTTCAGTTACTTTTATAGGCTGAGGCTCAAATAATATGCTGCCTAATAGTTGCCCAGCTTCATTTGTAGAAGCCATACGGCCAGCTATTCCAATAATGCGTAATTCCCCAATCAATTTTGGAGTTAATTTAAATTTCAAAATTTTTTCTTCACTTTCATTCAATACGATTTGCTGACTGTCAGTTGTTACCATAGATGAATTAATTATTTCTTTCTCACGTTCCGTACATTTCCCTTCGAAGAAAACTTTATTTGTCACTTCCGCATTGTTTTCAAGTGAAAACTTCCATAATAAATTGATATCAGAGAATGTAATGCTTGGTTTAATAGTATTTTGCACACAAACACTGATTTCAATAGGATCTAAAATTTAAAGAAAAAAATCATTAAAAGTCCAAAAAATTTTAACTTAATAAAGTATTTTTTACCCCCATGAACGCTTAAAGGTTTATCGGTTGTAAGATTTTCTGAGGTAAATAAACATTTGGCTGGTTTAAATACCATTGGTTTCGCGGAAACATGGGTCACTACTATTTCTTCCAGTTTTTGCCATATTGCTTCATTTTTCAAGTTTGACTAAAAAGAGTTAAGGCACATAAAATACTAATAATCCTAATTTTTAAAAATATTGAACCAATTACATTGATATTGACGTTTGTTGCAGATATGTACAAAGGATTAGTTACAGGCGGATGAGAAGTTACTAATACTCTTAAAGATGCTTGATTTACTTTTGGTAAAGCAATTTCAAGGAGCCCAACACCATTATTTTGGTTTATTAGTTCCTAAAAAAAAAAAACCTGTATAGGTTTTTTGATCTTCAATTTAAAAAAACATATTGAATACTTTTTGTGTTGCAATATATTCACGAAGAAAAGCTGCTTGTTGCGCAACATTTTGCAAACTCAACGGTCTTAGCAAATGAGCTAGAGACTTGCTAGCAACGTCCAGTTTTTTAAGTGTAACTGCTTGTTTGCCTATTGTGTATTGAATATGATCTTCTGCTAAACTCCAACCACGATCTTGAAAAATTTGATAAGCCTGCTTGTAACATCGAAAAGCATGTTTTCTTTGTCCACATCTAGAAAATCGATTTCCTGACAGCACAATGTGGAATGCGTATTTTCTATACATTGGTGGTTGAGATGCTAAAAAACAATATGACGCTTGTTCTAGCAAAAGAGCTGATCTTAAATCTGATTCTTCACTAGTCATCCGTATCAATTGTTTGGCAGCTTCACCATAAAGTTTTGCATTTTTCAAACATTCAACACTCAGCAAAGTTGCACGTGTAGCAAATTGTTGCAATCTAAAATTTATTAATGCAGTTATATTCAGAAAAATTTATAAAAATGTTATACCTGCAAGAAGTTAAATAACATTCTATCGCGCTTTCCATATAATCATAAGTTTTTCGATTTGCAGTCCCTAACATAAATGCTGACAATGCAGCCATTTCTAAAGCCCCAGCGAAATATTGCCAAGCTGAATCTGCGTTAAAATCTCTTTTGGCTTGATGATAAGCCTTCAACATTGTAAAATATATAAACGAAGCATAATTAACTATGTAAATACTAAATACCTGAAAAGCTAAATTGTAGTGTCCAAACATAAAATATAAATCACCAAGTTTACGAGTTTGAAGTTCACAAGATTCATTTGTGTAACTGCAGTAGGGTAAGTAAATTAAAAATCAAAAAATCCACTTCAAACATTAGTTATAAGGCACTTACATTACTGCATTTTGACTTCCACTACCAGCTACAGGCTTACTGGTTGCAAATAAACGCTTAGTAGCACTTAGTAATGATTTGCTTACACCTTTTTTGTTTGTTATCTAAAATAATAACGAATTATATTATTGATTCCAATCTATCAATATAAAGAATTCACAGCTTCGTTTAAAGTTCCAACAATACGTTCAACATACGGAATTAATCCGCGAACTGTATAATCTTGAACAAAATGTTTTAAATTTTCAATATCAGTTGGTCCAAGGTACATTCCATGTGGAGCATCATAATCACTTTCACTTGCCCACACATTTGGATTTAAAGTTTGTGAATTAATACTTTCAGAGCTATTCGAAAATTTTGAATGCTGAAATTTAAGGAAATATCAGCTAAAACAATTAAAAATCTCATTTTTTTCTTCTACTAATTACAATTGCTTCAGTAGCTTGCTCTTGTATTGGACTTAGAGGATGTAAAAATCCCTCTGATTCGTTATTTCCTTCAATTGTCACGGAAGGCATAGCTGAAACGGTATTATCTTGTGGAGTTTTAGGTGCACTTCCTTGGTCTGATAAGTTGTCCTGAAGTGTAAATGAAATGTAAATAATAATTTTCAAAATTTATTTTTGGGTTACTGATTTTGGAGCTCTTTTGAGATAATTTGTCCAAGGGTCTACGGCTTCACTTGAAGGTTCTGTTAGAGAATTTATCGCTACTAAAAAGCACTTATTATCACCAAAAGTGGATTTTAATATTTCATATGTCTGCTGAGCTCTGTAATACAAATATATATATATTTAATAATAATTTAAAAGATAAATGGCAAAGTTAGACTTCGATATATCGCCCTGGGATAAGTCATGTAATAAAACATAACTATTTAATACATCATTATTTTGAAACCATTTTGGTAATTTTTGTGGTGTTATATTTTGAAGCATTTGAACTTTTTTTGTTAACTGGTTTGCTGTATCCAATATATTTGGATCTGACCCCGACAAAACAATTAAACAACTTAAAAAATGTCTCGTAAACTCATGGTCAGCCGGAAACTGAACTGTTAAAAATGCCTCACGCCAATTCTCAAACCATGGTTCTGATTGTGGAATTTCTACATTCATTAGCCCTAAAAGAATTTAAAAATATGAATTATAATAAGTTTTTATAATGTAGAAAATAGAAAAAGAAACCTATTTGGGAAACTTTAGATTTTTCAAAAGCAGCATTTGTGACCGCTTCATTAAGCATTTTCCTAGCTAATGTTGTTTGTGGTGGTCTCCATCCTATATCACAAATATTCAAACGTAGTCCTTTTATTGAAACACTTGTTCCTGAAGTATCCCGAAAATGGGCTAAAGAGGCATTTTTTGTTTATTTTCTAAATAAAAAAAAAATTATTTTTTAAACAATTTTTATACCATCATTTGCCAATTTGGCAAAAGGTTGCAGTAACTCTACGAAACTTAAATTATTTCGTTGGCACAATTCATCAGCATATGGACTTGTTATTGCACCGACAAGCGGGGAGAACACATATTGAATAATTTCTCGAGTACTTAAATTTTGCCCGGTAATATGTATCATTTTATTATGTTTTGAAAAATCTAAATAGGAATGTTGTCAATTTTTAGAAATTCAATTTTGCTTTTATCATCGTATCAGCTGTAAATTGACAGCGGTTGCATATTCGGTAGAATTCGTATTTATGTAAATATTTAACCTGATATTTTAAAACTTTGTTTAATTTGTCATTGATTGCGTTTATGCTATTCTACTTTGGGAATAGCTAAACGTTCTGACATTTTATTAAAACTTTTGATTGAAAAATTTTTATAAATACCTTGCCATATGATTGACGTTTTCAAAAAAATATAAAATTATAGGTGACATTTACTACAAAAATTTTCCGGTTAGTTATAGTTCGAGTCTCCTCAAAAAAGAAAAATTTTAAATATAAAATTTATAGAACTTATTATATTTGTATATCTAAACATTGCGGATTCATTTTCTCATTTATGAAACATGGAGGGTATTAACGAACAAGAAATTCAAGCCAATCAATGGGTAAAATTTGGTTTAAGATTGGCAGTAAGTGCAGCTCTGCATCCTTTCGAATATTCCAAAGTTTTAATACAGGTAAAAAATATTGTGTTAATTATAAAAAACTTATAATTATCCTTTTTGCTTAGTTGGGATATGAACCAATTGCCCCTAGACCAGGAAAATCTATATTTGGAAAGGATATATATGTTTTACCAAACATATTTCGCTATAGTGGGTTGGGCAATCATTAAAATTCGTAAATAATTTTAATTCTTTTTTAGCGAGTTATATTAAACGGGTTGATGGATTTAGTGGTTGTTATCGTGGTCTAACGCCCAAGTTAGTTGGTACAGTAGTTGGGTCCATTTGTAGTGAAAGGATAGCTGACAAATTAGGAGTAACTGATGACAAACTCAGACAGGAAAGTGAAGAATTATCTGATGAAGAACAATTTGATAAATTTTTGCAAACACTTAAAAGAGATGTAGTTGTTCATGCTTCAGGAATAATTGTTACACATCCTTTTCACGTTATTTCATTAAGAATGATGGCAACTTTCATTGGCAGAGAAACAACATATAGGTTAAAATTTGCATTAAATAACGTTTTCCTAAAAACAATCGCTTTTTTAATTTTTAGGAGTTTAATAGGCTCTATTGTAGAAGTTTATAAAAATGATGGTATATTTGGATTTTTCAATGGAATTATTCCAAAATTGTTATGTGACTTAGCATGTCTCGTTTTAACTAGTACAACTGTTTATTTATTTAACAAGCATTTTATACAAGATCAAGATGGAAGGCAATATTTTGCTAGTTTTACTCAAGTAAGACTTTATGTAATCAAATCAAAGTTTATTTAATAATTTTTGTTTATCAGTTTGTCTATGCCAGTCTACTTTATCCTCTCAATGTTGTGTCAACTTGTACTGCAGTATCAGGATCTGGGTAGTCATTATTAAAAACAGTGTATTTCTTAATTTCATTCATTTAAAACATTTTTCTAAACAGACTTGCTGCTGGACGACCACCAATAATGCCAGAATATATAAGTTGGAAAGACTGTTATAATGATCTAAAAACGCGCGGAGAACTAAAACGTGGAAATTCCTTATTCTGGAGGTAAAAATTCCGTTATTTATTTAATCCAAAATAATAAGTAAAATCTTTATATTTTAGATCGTTACCTCGTCACTCGCCAAATGCGATGAAAATTTCAGTCATGAAAGATTCCTCCGTACCACTACCCTCAATTACCAAATATGCTTAAAATAATATTCAACTTGATGGGATGACATTATTTCGTTTTTATACCACCTTAGCAATAAAAATGCAAACGAGAAAATGGTTTATTTTTACAGTGGATTCCAAAAGTTGACTTGTGTTAGGTAGCATTTATAAATTTTCATTGTTCAATTTTTATTTAGTTTGTATACTAATAGTATTTTCAAAAAAAAAAAAAAAACGAAAAAATTTTGCATTATTTGTTCAAAATTATTTTGTGAAATAAGTATGATCAAATAAATTATGGATGGAATTGATCAAAATTTAAATAGATTGTTTGTATTTGAAATTTAAAACACCTATCATTTGGAAATTAGAATTTTCTGCACTAAAATTTTAACTGATTTTTTAATTTTAGAAGCAAATATATTTTTACAAATAATGCATTAAATTCTAAACAGAATTTTTTTATGTCTCTTCAAAATTAAATTATAATTTCGAAATCGGAGGTTTCAAATGTAAAAAAAACTAAAATTTTTTTTGAAAACTATTAATCTGGCAGTGGTCACTATACGATGAATAATTTAAATAAAACATAGAACTGATTAATATTAGTAAATGTATAAAAATTATTTTCTTAAGGACTTCTAATTTAAACGCAAACATTTAATACAGAGAAATAAATAAGTTGATAAAATTTCATAAAAACTACAAGCACATTTTTTTCTTATTTTTAAAGTTTTTTGTTTTCAATTAGTACTATATTTTATTTTATAAATTACTGAAAAATTGTTGATCTTTTACATTTTATTTTAATATCCATTGATAAAATAAATAATTAAGGTTAAAATTAAAACTAAAAATGATGACTGAATATTTGTACTGCTATTCTCACTGCAATAGTATTGACTACAATCGGCTTTAGTAAATCTATCCAAAGTAACTAATGCATCGCCCCAGTTACACAAACCAACTTTACACCAATCTAGATCAACTGTTTTTTGATTTAGAACAAACATAACTCTTTTTTCATTTCCTCCCTCACAACTGAATGAATACAAAAAAAAAGAAGAAGAAATACATATTAATTGTCTAATGCATAATATATTAATTTCATTTCAAAAGTTTTTTAACATTACCTATATTTAATAGCTGCAAAATTTGATGCAAATGGTGCCAGTTCACTTGATTTCCAATTTCTATTTTTCATATCATGAAAATTATTCGCTCTAAGTGCATCACGATCTTTTGCAATGCCTAAAGCAGTCAATAACAATTGAATATTTGCTGAATGTGTAAAATAAGCAGCAATATGTGGCTCATTTGAATTATTTAAATGTCTAACCATATCCTGCACAGCAGAACATGCTATCCGACTATTAAGTTCATTGCCATAACCAACTTTATAATAATTTCTTAAATCTTCAGCGTATTCTAAAACTGTAACGTGTTCTGGTGTAAATGCCTGTAAAATTGAAATAATTTTTATTTTAATAACAATAATTTTAAATAATATTATAAATATTACCAAGTCTTACAATAAAATACTTACAGCACACCAAGGACTATTACGATTTGGATGCCATGCTTGTTCAAATCTACACATATCCCATACCGTATCAATTTGAGCTCTAGACAATGCAAATTTGAATCTTTAAAAAAAAAAATAAATGGTTGAGCAAATTTTTCAATTTTTTTTTTTCAAATTATAAAATATTTACCCAAGTCGTCTTGAAATACGTCTAACTGTATCTTTCATGATTTCGGAATTTATAAATATATTATATTCGGAAGCATTATTCGATTTATCATTTTTATTTTGCTCTTCCCAACGATCACAACCAGCGTAGGGATTTAAAACAGGATCCTTAAAAAAAAATACAATTTATTGCTTTTATTTATTATTTATACTAAAGAAAAATATAGTTATATTCGGTTTATTAACAAAAAAATTTAATTAAAACGTACAACTTCAGGTTGTGGTCCAACATCTGGTGCTCTTTGTAAAATACCTTCTGCAAATGCCTTAAAACTTTCTTGTGTTCTTTGCGTTGGTGTGTATCGAAACTAAAATAATATTAAATGAAAACAAAAAATAATTAAACAAGTAATTTAATATAAACCATTTAAAATTTGCTGTACACTTACATCAAAATTTCTTTCATCAATGGGTTCAAATATTTCTGGAAGAAATCTTCTATAATTCCTTGCAATCAATTTCATATCTTGATAACCCTTTTAAAATAATATTCACACTTACATATTTAATAAATTTTTTATTATTTTAATTTTTTTATTCTTACTTGAGGAGCTAATTTTTCAGCAAAGCTATCAGTACTTAAGTTTTTACTCAATTTCCAAGTTTTTATTGAAAATTTATCATCCATACATAATGCACCAGTGCTTGGTTGTGTTTTTCTCTCCTCATAATTTCTGATAACTTCGACTCTTAACTTAAAATAATGAAATTATTTTACTATTTAAATTAATAAATACAGAAGCAGAAGTGAATCCAAAAAGAGGTGCAGAAAAGTAAATGAACATTTCTTATAAATTATTGAAATTGTGCCTTAATGAAAAATATTATATGGACATTTATTGTTTTAATATTTGTGTAATTTAATTTCTCAATTCTTAGAATCAATTTGTAAAATAAATTTTATTGTCTGGGTTTCGATATTTTCATAAGAAGCGTAATCCTATTAAATTAAACACGTTCTGCGCCTCATCGATAAATAAAATTTTTCATGAATTTTTAAAAAAAATTTTACGCAGCCATGTACATAAATTTAATTTACGATCATTTTTATTAATAAGAAAATACTTATACGTTTTCTGTTTATTTTCACCTGTTTTTGGAAACATAATATTTAATTTTTAAAACATTTTGATCATTAGCAATTGGTTTACTAAATATTTACATCTTCAAGATTTCTCATTTCTTGAATATCTTTTACAGTTGGCCATCTAGCACCATGCCGAATCATTATCCAAACTTTTTCTTGAATACAACCTAAAAAAATATATTTTTTAATAAAATTTTTTAATAATAATTTGCTTAGAAATATGTATGTACATGTATGTGTGTATAAGCTTACCAGCAATTTTATAATTAACACTTGAATCTGAACCTTTTGCTACATCATAAGCTGTTTTTGTTGCATATTGCCGTGTTTGTGATTTATCCGGATCTTTTGAATAACAATACTCTTCACAACAATTATCATTTTCACTATTATATGTTTCTTGTCCAAATACAATAATATTGCAATGTAGCGCTGCAAATATCAGCGCAGACCATAAAAATTTCATTTCCACAGTTTGATTTTTTTTTTTAATTGAAGAAAATCTGAAAAAAAAATTAAAAATATTTTAATTAATAAAATGTAAAAAGTAAGAAAATGTATTGTAATTGTTTCTATTAATGTTTTTTTTTTTATTTGTTTTATTTAATAATAAAATTAGTGTTAAATTTTTTTGTGATTGCATTAAAAAAATAAGATTAGGAACGCTCCTAAACTACTGTTTACATTATTTTTGTGTGCTATGATAAAGAGTGATGCATTAATGCCATAATATAATTAATTATTGAAAATATTCTAGTAACACACTTTTTAATATTATAATTAATAATATTAATTTAAATAACAGTAAAAGTTGGTAATAAAATTTATGACCTATTTTCAAAGTAAAATAATAAAAACCACAATCATTGGTAGAAAATTAAAACCAAAAATGTTATTACTTATTTTTTTTTAATCTTTTGAGTCTAGATCACTTAATCAATACGAGTTAATTAGCTTAATAAAATAAAGTAAACCGTATTATTGAAAATAAGAATATAACAATTTTTGATTCCATTATTCTGCTTTAATTATACTTATTTGTACGGTCCCTTATAAGGACAAGATAATGTACATATACAAAAATGAATTCGAAAAGAAACTGGTTTTCAAATCTTAATAATATGCTTTTTTTCTATTGTAATGTGAGTTGGGTTGATCCTCTATACTCTTTCGGCAAACATTTTAGTTGAAACAGAAAATATTATAAATTTATAAAATTTATTGCAAGTTGAATTCTTTCCAACAACGAATTTTTAAATTTCATTAATATGAAAGGCATAAATAATATAAAAATTTAATTTTAAAAATAAATTCAAAATAAGAATACACAATAGATTGTTATATGTATGTAAATAATTATTGAATTATTGCAGAACATATGTAAACATTGCACAATTATATATGTATGCGAGTGAGTATGCAGCATACAACATACGCACCCACATGGCATAATATAACGAAAATCTTAACGAAAACATAAGTCAGAATAGTTATATTAAAATTTTGAATTTAATATTGAAAATTGCCTTAATACTATGCAGTCATCTGCAACAGTTAAAGGTCCAATTATAATTCAACGAATTCAGCAAATTCGAATTGAAATTCATATAATAAAATTATGTTTTATATTACATGCATTATAATTTCGTATAAACATACTCGCATGTATTTAATTAAAATTAATTATTTCTTTTATTTTCAATTTAATATTTATTATTTCATTTGATTTATTGATCAATAATTAATTTCATTAATTGCATTTAAATCAACAACTGCATTTAAATCAACATTATTTACAAACTTTTTGTTCACATCACATATCACAGGGTGTTTAGCATTAGGTGGCAAATAATTTCAGCCATGACTTTTTGATCAATTTCCAGCTAAAAATCGTATGATTGCAAGGCGGTAAAGTGGATGTAGATGCAGATATATTCGTTTTCGAGGTACAGAATGTTGAAAAAAAAGGTACCAGATATTTCCTGCTTATAAATAAATTCTTATAACTTTGGGACCGTGCCTTATAGAGTAACCATTAAGAGCTTTTTTTACAGGTTTATTGGTTCTGCAATCTCTTTATTTATCGGTGCTGCAATCAATTAGATTTGAGCCATAGTTTACGTGATAAAACTCGCCAAAGCCAGTTTTTTTCTGGAATTTTTTTTAAAAAACTCGAATTTTCTCGAAAATCGGTGTTAAATTTTTTTTATGAATTTTACACATGTCTTTAAAACACATTTAATATGTTTTACTGGCAAAACTATAAGAGATAGAGGAAAATGTTATATGGGTTTAAATTTTAGCTCTCATTATAACTTAAAGTTAATCTATATGATATATTAAAAAAAAAATATTTTGCTGGAAATTGAAAAAAGAATCATTCCTGAAATTATTTGTCACCTTATTTGAAACACTCGGTATAGAATATAAAATAAAATATATTAAGGAAATTGTATTATTTTAAAGAATTGATAAATTACTGAATAATATTAGCGATGCAAACTTAATTAAACTGAAAGACACTACACATAAAACGATAGGAGAAATAAAAAATATTGAGTTTACACTTTAAAATTTGATCATAACATTTCACCAAATAAATTGGAAGATTGCAGAATTTCCGCCCGGGGTAAAATTAATAGTGAAGTGTTAATGCCTAATGCAATTTGTATTTTTTGATTGCTAAATTGTTTCGGCAATACTACATTACTCCATTTCCGAAGTTACATGTTATACTGCTCCAATATAATATTACAGCTTGCAGCACATAACACACGTGCTATTAAAAATATCTTTCATTTTTTTTTAAATATTTTATAAAATTGTTCTTGGTACCTATTAAAAGTCCTGAATTTATTCCAAAATTTTCATAATTTATTTATGCTTTCTTTAACCTTAAATTTATTTATAATGTGTTGATAATAATTTTAGTTTATTATTTTATAATTTTATTCATTACAAAATTTTGAAAGACAATTTTATTAGTTGGAAATTTTCCAAATGCTTGACGCAAAAAATAGTTTTTCCTCCATTTTTTTTTTTTTTGTTCTTATAAAATACATAATTGATATAATTGATTAAGAATTGATCATAAAAGATTATTACTGAAATTATGGTTAAAATTATAGAATAAATAAAAATAAAATTATTTGAAAATTAAAATTAGAAATCATGAACGATTTATGTATTATAAAGAAAAATATTTTTAGCATTGAACTCTAGAAAATCTATTGAAAAACTTTGAAAATAAATTTTAAAAATTTATTGAAAATTTTTTTCAAAATTAATTTGAATTCTGACAAACTACATCCAACTTTTTAAAATAATAGGAACATGATCAGAAACTAGTATATTCTTTCTGTATCCTTGAATTGACTGGAAAGAGGGAAATGGAATGTAAACAAGTGTTGTCCTAAAAAAAATCTAAGCTTCAGCATTATTAGATCTTAGAAATTTAATAATTTCTTCTGATTTTTAAGATGAATTGAGCAAGGTTCTTTTTAATGCAATTTATTGTAGGTTTTTTTTTTTTTGGAAATACTCGTATATAAATTTTCACATAGATCGTGGTTGAATTCGCGTTTGCAGTTCTGACTGCGAAAGATCTTATAAGTTAAAACTCCACAATTGAATTACTAAAGCAGCGCTGCCAACAAAAACTCTATTGTCAAAAAGTTTGATTTATATTCTTTACTAATTGAGTTTTCTACTAATTAAGGTTATAAATATAAAGAAGAAAAAAATTTTTTGCTCTCGATTTGACAAAAGATCTTTTGAATTTCTACCAACAAAAACGGAATGATTTTTGCAACAAACTACAAATATCTGCTACTATTGCAGATCTTTGTTCGAACTGCAAACGCGAATTCAACCAGTGTCTACTAAAATACAATGATCAAGTATTGAGATATTCATTTCAAATAAAATTTAAATAATTTTTTTTTATAAAATTTTGTTTGAAAACTACTGCTAATTGTTAATACACTAATTACGTTAAAATTATAACATATTTAACTTTCAACTGTAATCTAAATTTCATTCTTATTATTTTCAATACGAGTAGCTAGGGTTCAGAACAGTTGGAAATGTTATTGTATATAGCCTCTGCATTGCATTATCTAGATAATAACAATTTTGCATTTATTAATAAAATTCTAAATTATGAACCTTATTAAAGAAAATTAATTTCTTTAAGAACGCGTCTTCTTAAATTTTTTAATAAAAAATCAAAATTTAAATCTTTTTATTGAATTATGACCTGAATAGTTTATTCTGCTTACTTTTGATATAATATATGTACCTACTATCTTTAAAGAAATTTTCAATTCGTGACAAAAATTTATAAAGTTCATCTTGTACAATAATTGAATTGTATATAAGTATAATATGGGAATGTTAAAATATTTTAGTACTAATATAGACTATCCTCGAAATATTTTATCCTTGAAATTTTCTTCTTCATATATATATAATATTACGTATGGTATTAATTTATGAAGAAAATTCAATAGTCGTACAATTTTATAAGCCTTTTAAATGAAAATTTCAATATATGTAGATATCAAAAATTTCTTAATGGGATACAAAATTCTTAAAGTATAATTATATTGAAAGGTTTAATGTGTTGATAATATAATATTTAAAGTTGTAAGAGTAAGGGTAACGAACTTTATTAAATGACCAAATGAAAATTTTGTTCAATAATGGCGTGTATAAGTATATTTTGTAGATATTAGACGCATCTCACTAATTCTATTTTATAATTAATATTAATAATATATTTAAATTAAATAAAAAATTCCTTTATTAAAGAGTGATTCATTAATATTGATGATATTTAAAAATTTACACGAACAACTGAGGAAAAATAATTACTTACATGAAAAAGAATTAAAAGGAAAAATTTGAATTTTTTCCTTATCAAATATGAATTCGATTGGAACCTGAATAAATTCGATTCGATATAAATATAATATTAGACGAATTGCTTAGATCAGACGTCAATTATGATGTAAATTAATTTTGCATGAAAGAGCTAAAACAATCTTTATTTAGGCGCACAGAATGAAACTATCAGATTACATAGCAAAATTGTCATCATTTAGCGAGAACGGAAAATAAAATAGTGAAGAGTTTGTAAGGGTTAGAGTTTATTAGTATTCGAATCTTCTCATTAGAAGCGACACTCAATCTCCGTGTCATTTTCCAAATAAAGCTCGATGACCTTAAAAATATATTTGAAAATTTTTTGAAATTTCATTTTTCTTAAAATTTTTCTTTTACTTTCCTATTCAATTATTGAATTTATATTGTACATAAATACCTAAAATAAATCACTCTGTATAGGGAATACGAGAAAAACACATTCTCGTAAATCCTTTGAATTCGATTATATTCGATTTCTTTTTTCTCTATTTTCTTTTCATTTAAATAAACAAAGGCGCTTATCCTTCCACTTAATTTTTTTTTTTTATTTGTTATCATGTCTTAGGTCATGTATTTA